CTGGACAGCAATTAGAGCTCCTGCTCTGCATTTGGTCATCTGATGAGATACTAATCTTGAGGGTTATCACAGTGTGTTCCCACTTAGCGAGTCCTGTGCCACCGTGGCAAGGAGTGAGCTTTGACATAGGACATGGTGAAGCAATTAGACACACCAGTTAAAGGAAAGCTTGGAAATTGCACACAAAGCACATAATGTCCCGTTCAGGTGAAGCAAAACTAAAGACCTCAGCAAACAGGGAAATGCTTTCACAGCCTGGCTCGGTTCTGTGACCGCAGGCATTGGAGGCTGTGGTGAGAAGCGGCCCTTGGCCTGTGATGTGTCTTCTCTGCCCCACATCCCCTTGAGAGGCACAGCCAAGCTGGAGAAACTAAATGCTGGCATTGCCCGAGCTGGCGTGGGGGGCCCCAGCCCTGCAGGCAGGGGTGCAGGAGGTCTCCTAGGGCAGGGCCCTGCAGCACCCGTCATGGCATGGGGTATGCGGGGGTGTCATGGCTCTGTGCCTGCCCTTACCGGATCCCCTGGGGACGCAGCAGACGGGCCGCTGAGATCTGGTGCGGCTGAGGGCAGCCCCAGCCCCCTCTCCCCAGCGCAATGGCTGCTGACATCTTGGTCCTGCAGCAGCTTGGCAGTCAGCAGCCGGGCTGCGGCAGGGGCGGGGAGCACTGAGCCCCCCGTTCCTGGGGTGGTGTGAGGCTGGCAGCTGCTGGTGGGAGTGAGCCCGGAGCCCGGCCAGCACCCGGCACAGACCAGGCTGCTCCTTGGTGCTCTGCCAGCTTGCTGGTGAAAACCTGCACCTGCCAGGCTTTGGGCTAGATCTGTGTGTCTGTATCTGTAGGCAGCCCCTCCCCAGCCTACCTGTCTCTTTTTGGGGCTTTTGCTGAAGGGCCACAGGTGGGCTCTCTGCCCGGGTGTTGCCTGCACACGTCTACTTGTGTTCCTGCACGGAGCCCCCAAGTGCCGCAGGCACCTTATGGTGCTCGGGCGGGCAAGGATGTTCCTGCACCTGCACAGCTGCAGTCGTGGGGGGACAGGCGAAGGCAGGGTGCGACACACCACAGCCCAGAGCAGGGGCAGTGCTGTGGCAAGGCTGCGGGTCGATACCTTGGCAGCATTACGGCTGCTGATGACAGAGGCAGATAAAGTTACAGAACCACCCTGTGCCACTGCTGTTTGTGTCTGCAGCTGTACCGCAGGGCAAGGTCAGGGTGTCTGGGCTGGGCCTTGAAGTCCCCTGCGTGTGACCACAGTGAGATGTTGTGTCTGGGAGCATGGCTATGAATAGAGCCTCTCCAGCTGGCGGGACCCTGCGGAGCACAGCTCCTGGCTGGGCAATGGCAGTCCCAGCTCCGGGGGCGCTGGGGCCTTCCCAGGAGCCTGCCAGTAGCATCCAGCAGTGAGGGGAGGAGAGGAGAGGGACCGGAGAGACTCCAGGGTAAGGGGACTGCGGGAGAGGGCACAGGCGGGGGGGGGGGCTGGGGACACACGTTCACAGCACAGCAGTCGCTGCGGGCTCACCCCTGCACCAGCATGGGCATGGGGGCAGAGGGGGTTGCTGTGCTCCAAGTAAACATTTAGTTACTGATTTGGTCCTCTGCCTGCCACTGCTGCCCATTATTTGGTTTTCTCCACTGTTTGTGAGGGCCCCCTGCCCTTCCTCTGCTGGGTGACTGCTGGGAAGTGGCACTGCCACAGTCCTGCTGTGTCCCTGGGCTCCCCCCAGGCTGGGGGTGCCTGTGGGCAGGGGTGCAGCCCCATTGCTGCTCTGCCTCCCGGAAAGCTCGGGCAGATGGGCAGTTGCATCACTGTTGGAGCTTGTGCAATCTCTGCAACCTGAAAGCCAAAAGTTGACCTGATTTTTCCATGAAAGTAGGTTTCTAGTGATTGTGTGTGCTGCCGGGCCACACCACACAGTGTGCTCAGTGCAGAGGAGCATGGTGGGGTCTCCCCCTGGCCCCAGTGAGTAGTTTGGCCCCTGCGCCTACAGCGTGGGCTCCAGGGGATGCTGCGGGACATCGCCTGGAGGGCAGGCCTCGCGGGGAGCTGCTGGCTGGCTGGCGGTAGCACACTGCCTGTCCAACGGTGCACTGGGAGTCGCTGTGCTGAGTGGCCTGCTCCTGGTGGTCTACCCGGAGTGGGCTGATGTCTCCAAGCGATAGCGCCCAAGTCACTTAAAAATCCAAGAGGAGGGTTCATGGTCCTGGCAGACGCTGCTGTGGTAGCTTCTTCACCCCCTTAGTGCCCCATAGGCAGGGGCTGAGCAGAGGGAATGCCCAGCAGTCCCCTAAGGTGTGGGGGGAACAGCAGCCCTTCAGATGCAGCCTGATGGCCCTGCTCTCTGCTCTGGCTGCAGCTGGCCCCTGGCCCTGGGGGGCTGCTGGGAAAGCAGATCCCATTCACATCCGTGGCATTGAGCTGCAGCCAAGTGCTCCCCGGTTACAGGCGTTGTCTTTGGCAGGGGTGCGGGGTCAGCGTGTGGGTCCAAAGCCAGCAGTTTATGTAAGAGAGGGGTGCTTCCTGCCTGCCTGCCTGCCTGCCCTGCGGCACCGAGATAAGCCCCGTGGTGACAAGGGCCCTTTGTCAGCTCCTCTCCCCTGCGTGACATGTCACAGGGGCCAGGTGCAGCAGCTTGTCACCTGCCCGGGCACGACTGCCAGCGCCTAAAGGAGGCATCTTAAGACAAGGCGCGCGGGTGGGGGCCAGGCGAGGCAGCCCGCCTACTGCCCTCCCTCCCACCACGGGGCCAGGGTCCGGCTGAGGACCTGCCCCTAGCACAAATATCCCCCATATAACTCCGCTGGGCACTCCTGGCTCGGCTGCACATCCAGGGGCCAGCCTGGGCTCGCTGGCCACCAGGGACGACTCCCGACCAGGCTGAGGTGGCGCAGGGGTGAGTGCTGCACGTCCATGGGGTGCCAGGGCTCCTCCAGGCTGCCCGGCGGGACCGTGGCCCCAGAAGGTGGACCTGGGGTACCACAGCCCCTGCGGCTGGTGGTGCCTGGTGGCAGCTCTTGGGGCCGGAGAGCGGGGTCAGCCCGGCCTGAGCCACTGCCCCTGGGGCGACGCTGCAGCCAGGCGTCTGCCCTGCAAAACTAACCCAGTTTAACAGAAAAACCTGCCCTGTGCCAGATTTTCTGGGCTGTTCTCAGCATCTCAGTTACCAAGGTGACTGTTTCCTGTGCGATTGCTAATGCTTCACGATCTCGATCATGATATCTGAGCGACTTCCTTTTCTCTGTAAGGAGCTGTAGGACTCGCTCCTACCCGGGGCTGCCCAGACCCCTTCTGAGGTGCGGAGGAGTCAGGTCAGTTTGGGTTCTGCTGCTTTTGCTTTTTGCTCTTGACCCGGCTTTTGCATCACTCTTGACATGGTCCCGTGCACGCGAGGGACAAGAGTCTATTGTTTTTTACGAACGACCGCAGCCAAGATGAGCTGCAATTCACTTCTCACCTTTTCTCCTTGGTGGAAGCCTCTCTCCTGAAACCTGAAACTGGGCTGATGGATTTTCCTTGTGTTGCTGCTTTCCGGACAGTTTCTCCATCAGGCTGCGTGCTGGCCCGGGGCTGCAGCACCCCGCGATACGGCCTTTGCGGGGAGGCTGGTGCCGCTCCTGTCGGCCTGGTTGAGGAACCCCCTGCTCCGGCGGCTGCCGGGGCCGGAACGGGCCGCTCTGGGTAGGCTCGTGTCCCGCCAGCCCCACGCCGCAGAGTGACCCGCCGCCTGCCGCGCTGGGCGCGTGGGGACACGAGGCGAGGCGAGGCGGCTTCTGGGCGCCCTTCTCTGCGGGCGGCCTCGCACCCCCGGTCGGGTCCCAGGGTCCACGGGGGGGTCTGGGCTCTCACGGGGCAGATCCAGGTCTCCCGCTGGGGCCGGCCCGGGCGGCCCCGCGTCGGGACGGGGGAGAGGCTGTGCTGAGCCCCGGCCCGTGCCCGGTGTCGGCGGAGGGCGGGTCACCCCCGGCCGGGAAGAGGGGGAGCGGCCCCGGCTCTGGCGGTGCCCGGGGTGGGGTGGGGGGAGCTGGGCCCAGCGCGGG